AGTCGCGGTCCTCTTCACACGACATCATCGTGTGCTCAATCGCGCGATTGCTTCTTCTGCAAATGCCCAAGCGTTCGTCTCAATATAGTGCGATCCATGCTCACAGCAATACGCCCCGGTCAGAGATCCAAGTTGGAAGGGTACCTCCAATACGTCATCGATGTTCGCGTCCGAAAACTGTCTTCTGAGAATCCTTATCTTCCACGGACACAATCACGTCGCATTGCATCATCACCCCGTCTTGTTGGTCTGTATCGACTAGGCTCGACGTGCTCGCATCTTCGTCGGTGGGATTCCCCATCGTTCGCGCCTGCCAGTCGGTAAGCCTACACCTACACGGTTTCTTCCTTTCTTCCCTTGCCCCCTCCGCTGACACGGTAACCGTGCTATATCCGGTGTTAGGGGGCACCAACTTCGGCCCTGTACTGCCTGTCTCCTGTCGACTCAAAGATGCGTGAGCGTCGGAGAGTTCTGTCTCCTGGATTTCGGGATAGACAATGCCGCTGCCGCCGACGCCGAGGAGGCGTTTGATGCGCGGAACGCTTGCCGAGATCAAGGAGAGGCTGGATACAGATCTGAAGTGGTCAGTTTTCGAAAGACATTGATCAATCCGAACGTACTGGGTAAAGACGACGAACTCAGCTGCATCATCTGCGTCCATTAGGTCTACGCTGCTCGGTTCGTGTCTAGCTCACTCACGTGTGGGGTTTGGACTGGAAACCACCCTCAACGTCGCCCATATTTGACCTCCAGCAACGATTGCAACACTACAAAGTCAAGACCAGGACGTGCAAAAACGTGGCTGGGGAACCCACCTTGCTCGGACACCAAAGAGCATTGCCACTGCAATGCTTTTTTCTTTGTCCAGAGACATCTTCCAGAAGGTCGGGACGATCCAAAAAGCCAAAAGAAGGTCTGTAGCAATATTGATCGCAGTGGCTGCGGTTGAAAGACCGCCGTTTCCACATTGCAGTGCATGCATAGTCCACCGCGGAATCCCACATTGGAACGCCACCGCAAAGGTCGAGAATATAGCAAAGAGCGCAATGCTTCCGAACAGGGCCACCTTCGCTCTTCGGGATTGTGGGAATATGCGCTCGATGAGCAAAGCCGAGGACAATTTCGCGAGCGCCATTGCAATGATACTAAGTATTCCAGCAACATAGATCGCCTGCAGCTCTGATTAGCGGTAGCTACCTGATGGCATTGGAGCTAGTAACCTTGAAGAACAGAGTCAGCTCCTTACCACTCAAGCCATCCAAGTCCTTCCCTAGGCCCCCGTCGATAGCAAACTGCCAGCTGACAGTCGCGCCTAGATATACAACCTAAGAAATGTTCAGTATCACTTTGTATCCATGGAAGCAAATTACATACTGTGGCTGCAACAATTGCCACATCGTCGAGACCGAATTCGATTTTGTGGTTGTGACCCTGCGCAAATCGTCCAACCAACACGCCCACCGTTATGATAGTCCATGAGTAAGTGGAGACAAGGACGAAGCCGCTCCTTGTTGGCACACTACTTCGACGACCTTCATCCGAACCTGCGGAAACCATTGTACACAGCGAAAAGAAGCAGCAACAAAGGAAAAGTGAATGACATTCTCATTAGGGAAGCGTGCAGCTTATGGTAGACGTTGAAGCATCATTCCACACGGCTCGGCCTTATACTCATCGCACCGACTCTCAGCTGCGCATCCAAATGCGTCTTGTCTTGGGTACGCATCTGGGGTCAACAACCCAACCATGGTCCAAGCTTGAGTCTTCGAAGCATGTCAGGATCTCATTCGTGTGTTTTCGCGACCCTGAATCTGCCGCATGCTTACTGTCTGTGCACCTGCCCAGCCGCTAGTCCGTTCTCCGTAATGTTCATGTCCATCCGCTGCACCTCTCCAAGCTGCAGCTCGCTGAATCATCTGCTGCATTGGGGTCCGCTCGAACAGCCTCTGTAATTACAGCGCGTCGGTCTTTGGGGCGATTTGGCCCGGTCGGTGAACTACGAAGTCTTGACTTCACAGCCAACAGGAAGCGGAACGGTTCGTTCAATCCTGCGTCGATCGCTTGTCCAAAGGCTCCAAGCCGGGAGTTTCGAGCTCAAACCCCGCCTCATATTACACGTAACGACGATAAACTGCCGTTAGTGGCGCCGGCTACCGTGCGAACGGTACCGGGCAGCGCGAGCTTATTTGATGGAGTGGCCATCCAAACGGCACCAATGCGACGAACGACAGGACTGTAACTTTACGAGGCGATTCGTGCGTTGGATCTAACCATTTGCATGCAGCGGAACGCGCCGGAAACATGACCCTTGGACGCTGCTGGTCGTACAGTGTAAGAACGGGCTTGCATATGGCAATGAGGTTTGCAACGCTTGATGGAGACACTGCATACGATGTCGGGCGTCTTTCGTGTTTCATTTAGCCAGACGAGCCAGTAGGAAAGCTGCCAACTTCCTGAGTTCCTCAAGCAGCGCAGTCCGCAGCTCCCTGGTCGTATCGTACTTCTCCAGCGTGCTGGTAGGGTCGCTGCATCTCACGAACTCTTTTGACTTTGCCATCCCGCACGTCACCCGCCGGCCATTGTCCTGGGATCTCTTGCGCCAGTATGGAACTCAATACCTACATGACAGATGCTGAACCCGATGTTGTAGAGCAAGCATTCGGTCAGGGCGAGAAGACGGCGGTGAATACGCCGGCTGGGCCTTCAGGAGTGGGGCGATCACCATATCAGCTCGAGGTGAGCATCACTTGAGCCGCTCCAGCAAAGTAGTGTACTGACTAGAGCAGCGTTATATCAATCTCTCGGCTGTTATCAACTTCGCTGTGATCATCCTCGCTTCTTGGGAATCGTTTGCAGTGACGTTCCAGTTCGCATTGATCAACGGCGGTCCCGCGTCTATCTTCTATGGCTCTATCCTGGCTGGCATCGGCGCCTGTGCCGTTGGATTCTCACTGGCTGAGTTGGCTTCAATGTATGTACCAAGCGTCCGTCATGAACACTTCTTGACGACTCGACAGAGATCCAACCGTTGGTGCCCAGTATCGTTGGTCAGCCAATCTCGCTCCGGCTGCTCCTCGCTTCTGGGGTCTACTACAAGGTGAGTAGAAGTAGGCACTCATGCTTCTAACAGCTCACGTTACAAACAGGATGGATAACTGTTGGTGCCTGGTGCTTTGCTTGCAGTGGACCGCCTTCCATATTAGCCAACATCATCACGTCACTGGCGATGTTCAATAACGAGGACTACGTTCCTGAACGATGGCACACCAGCCTCATGATGGTCGCGCTCATGATAGTCCCCTTCATCTCGAATCTCTGGTTTCGCAAGCTTCTCGATGCGTTCGAAATCACTGGTGGCATACTTCACGTCTGCCTCTTCATTGTGATAGTCGCCGTCTTCGTCGCGTTTGGACCGCGCAGCGACCCTGACTTTGTCTTCAAGACACTGACATGGGAAGAGTCGGGTTGGAACAACAAGGGTGTTTCTTGGGGTCTCGGGCTTCTGAGTATGTCGTTCGCCGTTGTTGGAGCAGACAGTGTTCTGCACATGTGTACGTCTACGAGTTTGCACACAGTGCTCATCTACTGACCGGATGTGAAGGTGACGAGGTGAAGAAGGTGCGCACGCGCGTGCCACGCAGTATCATAATTACCTCTGTCGCGAACTCAGCGATGCTCATCGTTTTCGCTACCATCGTTCTATTCTACATGGGCCCTCTCGACGATATCATCGCCACCCCGCTTCCAATCCTATGGGTCATTTACAACATCACCGGTTCCTCAGTGGCAGCCAATGTTCTCACCGCACTCATAGCCCTCCTCATCTTCTTCGCACTCTTCAACATATTCGCGTCCGTCTCGAGACTTATTTGGTCATTCGCACGCGACAACGGGCTGCCTTTCTCCGACTTCTTTTCCTACGTAGGTGGCCTTTACGACTTCTCATATCGCATTCGGCTGATGACCTTAGGTGCACCTCACACTCAAACTCCCCGTAAACGCGCTTCTCCTTGTTGGAACCGTCGTAACATGTCTCTCTCTCATCTACATCGCCAGCGCGACTGCCTTCAATGCGCTCATCTCACTTCAAGCCCTCGCGCTGCACGTATCGTACTTCTTCCCGATTCTCTTCATCCTCCTGCGCAAAATCAGAGGCCCGCCTCCACCTTATGGGCCGTTCAAGCTTGGTCCCGTCGGCATACCTGTCAACGTGTTTGCGCTATGCTACCTGGTCTTCGTGGTACTTTGGATGCCGTTCCCTCAGATTTTGCCAGTCACACGAGACAACATGAACTACGCGGGACCCATCTTTGGTGCGGTTGTGATCGGGGCTTTGGCCCATTGGTTCATTAGTGGGCATAGGACGTTCAAGATGCCCGTAATTCGGTACGAGTAGATCAAGGTCGGGTCTGGTAGCACTACACATCTTGTCGGTTTAAATAGTATGACCTGGCATGATCTTCTTCGGCATATAGCTCGCTAGAAGTCAATAGATTGACACGTAACGAGCATTCATGAACCTTGGTATGCGACATCAATGCATATCGTGGAAATCCCAGTGGCACCTTTGCAAAACGACAGCTTTGCGGAAGACTAGCCCATTCCTGTGCCCCTGCGCCCCGCATGAGCAGCCGTCCGGCGCAGGGAAAGATCTCCAATTCCCTCACCACATGTGCGACCAACTGCGCCGCGCACCTGCATTTAATTGTACTGCAGTGTGATAAGAGGATTTAAGGCCGATAAACAACAATGAACAACGTCTTGGCGGTGAGCTTGTATGGCTTAGAAAACACCCGGGGGCTGCTGATTGGTCGGCGATGACCAACTGGAAGTTGTTTACTTACGTTACACTGAGCCTGACGGGACGACGTCACAAGCTGACAGCTTCGTCGTATAAGGGGAAGGAGTATCAGGGCGAGCGAGATGTGATAGCTGTACTCAGACCTTACTATCCGCTCGATCAGTCCGCAACATTCTGACTGTACCAAAATCCCCCTACAATGGCTCCAACCCTCCCCCCAATGCCGCTGCCAGGCCTCGTCATGGTGCCCAACTGGACAGCCCAGAAACACGAAGCCTTCGTCATGAAGACCGAAGGCGTGCCCACGAAGAAAGCCCAAAGCCTTGTCAGCTACTGTACGTCTGATGAAAAAGCCGGAGAACCGTTCCTGAAGATATTGGAGGAGGAAAGGAACATTGTCAAGTTCATGACGATGGATGGACAGGAGGCTATGCGGATCAACGTCCATAGACACACACTCGCAAGGCCGAGTGCAGAGTACAAGGCAGTGAGGAGCGCGGATGCGAAGCCGTTGTGGGATCTGGAGTTGAAGGCTGGGTGGAGGGTGCCTAGCTACAGTATGTCTCCTCTTCGCTCATTTTTCTGCGTGCTTCCCATCGCGGTCATCTCCTCTCCATCTGTCCGCCTCTTCCTCGAACTGACACACGTCTCTTTCAGATATCACCGTCCATGACAAATACGTCGAGAACCAGAAAATCGAGTTCGAACGCAAAGTTGCCGGTGAGGAGAAGGGTCTCGTTGTCAATGGCAATCCGGTCATGACCATCTCTCGACACGCGAAGTGGGCGCATATGCATGCCACCTTCGTTGTGCATGTCGCGCCTGGAATGGATCTCCTGTTCGCACTTGGTGTCGCGTGGATCCGGTCGGATAAACAGAGGCAGGAGGATGCCGTCAATACTACGCTTTTGATAGTGTAGAGGGACGAGAGGACGTTTCTTGCTTAGCGTACGAGTTACAATGGCGATGGAAGATGGGGGTTGAGAAAAGGTGGAGCTCTGTTCATCTAGCGTCTTGATCATACAGGCTCGTGTTGACTCCGCTTCTGCTTCTTGAACAACCACTTGGACCCTCTCGTACGTTCATGCTCATGAGAGTACGATCGCTCGGGTAAACATCCAATCTTGGGTAACGCCGTGACTTCGTTTGCAATGTTCACACGTACGTCTCCAAATTCAATCTCATTTTGTGGTACCTCGCGTAGTTCCATAGCGTTTTTCTGAGCTTCATTCTCCTTTGCTGACCAAGCCCGGATCCGAGTGTCGGTGTCGCTATGATTGCTCATCGCTGAGCTGAGGAGGCGAGAACCGCCGCGCGGATGTGTCGAGAAGCGTGAAGTGAGGGGTGATGTTGCAACCCAAGGCCAGCGACCACTGACCACACTCTTCCTGGTAGCCAGTGGAGAATCACTCTCTTCAGCACCCAGTGAGACCCAATCCCAACCCGCAGGCTTGCGCCACTCTTTCTTCCCGGGTTGTTCCACTGGGGCGGCATGCGCGTGCACGTTCTTTGGGTCCGAGTTCTTTTGTTTCGAGGACTGAGTGATCTCGGTAAAGAACTCAATGACGTTCTTAGGCAGCATCCTGACCACCAGTATTCGGATGGATGGTAGCGATACACAAGCGAAACCTGCCGCAAGTTCCAACTCCGTCCATACGGTGACCTTCACGTAGTCCCAGGTAGGATCTACGGAGATCTTGAAGGTAAGTAGGACGAACAGGCGGATGATAGTCGCAATGCATCCGAAAGTTCCGATGGCGAACATGAAGCACACGGCGACCTTCTTATAGCGCCTCATCTGCAGGTTGCGGATGAAGAACAAAGGTAGGATCAGTAGGAGGATGTCCTGAACGATAGCGCTGATAGAGTTTGCCATTGGTACCGCTTGAATATCCAGGCATTGCCCCTTGATGTCTCGGTTCCAGAAGGACTCAACTGGAGTGCATATGAAGATTGTCAGGAAGACGATGACGGTCGAGTTGATGATGATGCCGGCTCCGAAGATGTAAGCGGTGATCCGGAAGCTTTTCGTTTGGAAGATCTCGAGATAGAAGGCGATGAGAGAGAGTTTGATGAGGCCCAGCACGGCGATGTATGTCGACCATGAAATGTAGACTGTTTAGCGTTAGCATGCAGATAACGATGTTGCAAGGTATGGTTGCTTCATACAGTAGCGGAGAATAGGCGAGAGTGCCCCGTCTTCAAGATTCCATAGGTGCTCGCCGAAGCCACGTTCCGTCACTGTATTGTGTTAGTTACAATAGATGGCAGCTCCCAGACCTCTTACTTACTAGCCAAGGTACATCCTGCGGGTACTGCGCATAACACTAGAGCAAATACGACGATGTAGTCGTCCATTGCTAGCCTCTTATTCACCAACTTGCCGACGATTCGTAGAACGACAAACACCACGGCCATGGAGTAGATAACACCAGTCCACATGAACATGTCAAGGCGTTGCGATTCATCGGACATGTCGCAAAGAACGGCTTGTACTCTCGCAGTGTCCAGACTTTCTTGCATAGTACAATTTGCAAGCATGCATGCTGGCACGTCTGCCGCAATCCGATCGTTGCCACAGACACATTCAGTATCATCCAGGGTGCAGCCAGCTTTCGGGATAATAGCAATCATGCAGACAAGCTGTGTATTGTTAGCAATGATATCGGACAGTGTAGTTGGGCACGTACTCCGCAAGCGGGGATGTCCGCAATGCCTAATGCCCTTGCATCCAGTTCCGGACCCGACGCGCTGGCATGGCCAAACGTGAAGACCAGACAAAAGACCGACAATAATCCAAAAAGATGCATATTGTGAATAGTAATCGATGGGCTGGTGAGACAGGCTGACCCTGGAGTCTGGTCGGCGGCCCCGATGACTTATCACCAAAGATAGATGACAAAAAAACTTTGGAGTTGCGACATAGTCCAACGCTCTCGAACTATGTTGGGGAATTCCCATCTTCGGCGGCTCTCAAAGCGTGTTTGAGCTTAGTATAGTACTCCCGCTGTCGAGGCCAATCAAGCGGTGTGGCCGTTAGACCATAGCGCCGCGATGGCGCTGTGAAATCGCCGTAGCAGCGGCTTGACTCGATATTACCCACGGCACGTGGGCTTTTGAACCAGGCTTTTCGTTCGGTAGCAGTTGGGTCTATCGCGCAACGCCCACGGAAATCTAATTCTTTACTACTGTGCAGGGAGAGAGCTTGCCCGGCCGATCGGACGGCGCTTTTCGGCCATTCGCATCTTTGCCCTATGGTGAATGTATGGGAATGTAGGACGGCCATACGACTGACTGGTTATGACCGCAATGGAAGCTTACCTTCCGTGAAGCTGAGGCGCATCTCGCCGTTCATGGCGTTCATATGTTGGTCGGCTTGAGGACTGCTTCCAACATCGTAACTCGGCAGAATGCGCCAGACCCAACGTAACTGCGGGAAGAGGTAGCGTAGTGTGTGATTAAGGAGTCTAGTCGGACGGTACAGCAGCCTCACTCGCATGTGCCCAAGGAAGGCGCACTTTGCTGAGGACACCCAAACAAGGGGCAGTTGGCGAGATCAGGGTCCTAGGTGATTACCTCATCACCCACGCTGATCCGGGGCCTTTTGTCCCGCCCCACTCGAGCTGGAAATGGGCAGCTTTGCCATCCAGTCGCATCAGAACAAGAGAAACAAAGTTGGCTGACGTCCGTGAGCTATGGTTCTTCGACGCAAGATTAACATGGGGATCTTCAACTGTCAGATTACCGACAAGTCACAACGCTCGGAGCAGCTGATCTTGTCTAGCCCGTGCTCTACATACCCGCTCAAACTCTGCCTAGGCATCGAGAATACTTGCGACACTCGATTCCGCCATCTTCATCACCTTCCATCAAGCTCCAAACGATACGCACGTCAGCTCTAAAGCATCACATCCTGTCCATAAACTAAGCTTACTTGTATGCGATAGCCTTCTGGGAAGTTTGCACCATCGTCATCCTGCCGCATCGCCACCTGAACAGCTTTCGTACACAGAGGAACGTGTCATTCAATACCAGCAAACGGGTAGTCCCGAAAGCACGAACGACATCGCTTAAGCGCGCCACGCCCATGTGTCTCGATCCGAGGGTCAACGCCCCAAGCACCTAGGCAGCATGTGAAACATAGATCTGAATGCTATGCCTGAGGTGCCCAACGGTCTCGCGTATGGGAATGATCGAATCGATCCATCCATGTGGAGGACTCGCTTTGTCTACCCATTTGAACCAGATGTAATGGCTAAGATGGTCTTGCAGATCGTCTGCTTCCAGAGCGGCAGAGCCCAACGCCTCTTAAATTTGAACGGCCGATCGCCCGTACTTGTTGTCGATCTCAGCACCCTGTCGACCTCTCGCAGCTCTTGCCATGTCGCGTCTCCATTTCTGATGTGGCTGGATCAATGTTCAAGAACTTTATACTTCCATTGGTGCGGAGCGGTGATATCGCAACAGCATCATGCACGCTTCGGGGCAGAGGAGCAGTCTTTTACATGATTTTTCATAGTTTGGTTGCATGACCGTCCATCCTATAGCACCCTCGTGGTGGTCTGAACACGTGGACCAGGCATATACCACCATAAGTCCGCCACGATCTCATTCTACTGCTTCGACACGTGCGCCAAGCACAGAAATTTTGCGTCTCCCAACAACCAGTCTACTTCCAAGTTCTGTACCACTCCTCCGTAGTGAGTGGATGAATATCAGATCGGTTTGGCCGCCAGTCGCAGGTACAAGGACTGATATTGTCCATCTCAAGGTATGCAGCATTGATGAAGCCTACAATGTTCATGGAAATCCCGAAGTGCTCAAGTTGGTCCCGATTGAGTCTCTCGAATCGTAATGCAAGTTGCTCGTCTTGAGTCGACGGCAGGGGAGACCGGTGTTCAGGACTGAGTAGAATGTTGACCGAAGGTAGTGCAGATGCAGCTGCCATAGCGATCCGCTGTCGTCCTAGAATTAAGGCCGATCTTGCGACCCAAGCACAAACGCTATCGACATCGTGGTCTGAGGAATATCCGATTTGATGGATCCTCGTCCGAACATACGGTTTTGCGTCATCGTTGAGACTTTTCGCAAGATGCATCGACTGTGACTTTGGAAACTAGGGTTGTTAGCTAAGGCCAATATCAACAAGAAACGATCTGTAAAACGCACATTGATGTTGGAAATGTAACAGAGCGCATACAAGAGCTTTTGTAGCCCACACAGGTCGACAAATTCCATTGTGCCAATGACCTTGACGCCTCCATCCTGGATCCATTCACGTATGGCTTTGTTTACAAGGGGAAGTGCTTCTTGATAAACCTGATGACATGCTCTGAGTATGGCGGTTGAGACAGAGTGCGAGATCAGCGTGATCCGTTCTTCACTATTCCGATGACCAACCGTCGAATGGTTGGTGGAGCGCGGAAGTCGTTCATATACCATCAAGCGAATATCCTTTGGAAGATCGAGAAAACGGAAAGGTTCCGGAGTCGCTCCATTTGACGCCATCGCCATGTTGACGGGTGACTGCAGTCGCTACTGTCGGCGAGTACTCTGGAAGGTGGTGGGTGAAGTCGTGGCAGCGATCAGAGAATCGCTCGAGCCATGTTTGCGCTCACTAGCGCCATTGTGGTGCCTAAAGCACGGGCGACAGACAAGTGGGCGTACGCTTTCGGTGTTACAAGCGCTTAGCCTATGACTGTACAGGACCAGCTTTTGCTTTCCATCGCACCATCGGCATGCATCGACCAAATCAAGTTCAAACCGCTACTACTTTCAACGATGTGAGCATGACTACGCCTGCGCACTTTTAGTTCCTCAGTCTCCCTAAAGAACTCCGACTCATGGTCTACGAGCGCCTACCACGGCAGATCAAGCACCACCACGTCATCGAACCCTCCAGCTCGAAAGGCTGTCTTGTTCTCATCACGAGGTGTCTTCCGGTCGCAATACTTGCAGCCTGTAAACAGGTCAACGCGGAAGCGAGCGCAATCGTGCACAAGATCCAAAGAGACTTCATTTTGAGTGAAGGAGCCAGATTCATCGTCAACCGCCAACTCGTCCGTCACAAGGAATTCGCAATATTACTCCACGATTTGGTGTATATCTGGTACACTCAGCAAAAACTGGAATCACTGGGGGCTATTGTGCGCCAGACTCTCCAGTCCCATCTTGGATACCGCCCGACTGAATCGGGCATTCACACGATGGTCACAAAGTTAAACGCTCAGACGCGGCAGCAAATAACCTACACCAAGGATACCTTAGGGCCTTACGCACGAGTACCACTCCGATTCGTGTCTGTGGATGACTTGGGAAGTACAAGAAGTTTGAGGAAGAAGACGAGGAGTTGTGATAGGATCTGCCATAGGCTTAGTCGGCTCTGCACTCCCCACAACATCCTGGCGATCGTTTGCGACGGCTTTCTACCAGCGAACTCTTATACCACTTCAGGCTTTGCCCAAGACGCCATTCCCACGCTGATAGATCTCAAGTATTGCGATAAAGACAGCGTCGACGTCAGGGGGCTTCCAGTCGTGCATAGCAAGTGGCACGATAGTTGGATGGAATGATCCGCTTCTCAGTATATTTAGATGGAGTGACGTGTTGGAGTAGAAGTAAACCTATGAGGAGATCAATCTCTATTCCATTGTTGCTCTGCTCTCGTTACCTATCAGTGTCGACTTGGCGTGTGTATCAGAACCCGGGAGAGTTATCTGATTCTCTTTTCAGTCATGCCTCGCTTCCAAAAAGCGAACCGAAAGGCTAACGAACAGGTTGTGGCTCAGTTCCAGACGCTCGCTGACAATCGCGGATGCACCGTTAGCCAGCTTGCCCTGGTCTGGCTGCTCAAACAGGGTGACGATATCATACCCATCTCAGGTACCAAGCGCATCAATTATCTTGAGCAGAACCGGGAAAGCATGGATGTTGGACTGAGGGACGAGAAGGACATGGAAATCCGCGCGTTTGCGGAAGATGCGGCGGTGAAGGGAACGGCGCAGCCGGCTCGCTTCTCTGAGTATCTGTAGCGCGATACTATCGAGGAGTAGATGACCGGATACTACGCTAATATAGCGCTTTGATATTTCAGATAGCTGTATAGTGTGCCTTGTAATCTACGCCTGCGTATATCAATCATCGTTCGACGACACTGGCACTGGCACTGACGCGTTGGTAGAAGAAGAGCTGCTCTAGCTAGCGACGCGTATCGGTAAAATGAACACCTCGATAAATGGTTGTCTGTCGCGTATGGGTAGTATAACATTGATTGGAAAGTACATCAAGACGACCGCGGCGCATACATGATCATCTAGGACAGGTTCCATCACCACTGACCGTATCACACCATCATAGCACCGTGCATGTCCTCGCGAACAGCACTCATGCGCCTGCTGCGCGCTTTGTCAGGTGTCTGCATACCGTCGGAGTACTGCTCTCCACTCAAACGATGACGATTGAAAAGCGGTGGGAGGAGAAAGTTTTGTAGTGAGCGAACGCGAACATGCGTACCATCCGCGTGGTATGATGACGGTGCGCGAGATGAGGACACTCGAATTGGCATTGCAGCCCCGAACGGCGACGTTGGAATGAAGGAGTAGCGGAAGGAGGGGTGTCGGAAGCTATTTGGCTCTGCTTCGTATAGTTTGTCGTCATTGCGAGCCAGTGGGGCATGCCGCGTTGTGAAGGTCGCGTTTGTAGAAGACTGTTCCAGACTGTCTTTCTTCTCCCGGTTCCTGTTGATTGATTAGCGATGGTCTCCGTTAGTATTTGGAGATACTGACCTGCATATCTCGCAAGGGCGTGACGTGGTTTTCATTCTGAATGGGTACATCTCCAATGTAGCCATGACACCAATACAGGTCAGTGCCATCATGATACCGGGATGGAGTCCGTAGAACCAAAATTCGAGCCAGGAATGCTTGTCGAAGGTCTTCATTGTGATAATATGTGAGAGCGTAGTTTGAGGCTCTAGATGTACTGCCAAAATGGGGCGATTGAAGTTGCCGCTATGATTGTAAAGCACCGAGCTGACATCGCGGCGAGCTTGTGGGTCACTTTAACTCCCGCGAGACTACAACCAACAGTTCGGCGACCTGTCCATCCCGCAAGGCTCTTGCCGTCCCACGCGACGGAGATTCATCACAATACGGGGCCTTTATGCGAGGCTGAGGCAGTGTTTCGTTACTACTTTGGGACTGAGCTGGTCTCCCGGCGTCGCTGTATGCCGTGATAGGCTGGATATTACGGTGACTTGGTTCTTGATTCGTGGGTGATTAGGAATTGAATTGATCATCCTGATCCAACTATTCCGGTTGGCAAGGTTGGTGACGGGGTTTGAAGGCTTGGAAACACCACCAGAATCCGTCGTGGGGTGCTACACTTCGGACACTCCGATAACAGGCCGTACGAGTTCGCCCGAGCAATGGGTATCAGTTGCATTCCGCGATGTAATGAGTTGTAAAAGTCTGAACTGTGATCTCAAGCTTGGCGAGAGAAAGGTTCGTGATGTCTCAGACGAAGGCTGTTGTCGAAAACCTCTTCCCATTTCCTGACACTCGTACAAAGCCCGGAAATAGACTCTGGAACACAACGGACTCACCGAACAAAGCCACCAGAGCGCTACGATCTCGTTTGAGATTGAGTTGGGATGAAAGCAAAGCACGAAGATCTGATCCGAACCTGTACTTGGGTCATTCTTGTCCGCGAATGATGACATCCCGAAGATATGTGATAATGTAGAGCACGCAGCCCTGATCTCACACGCAGTGGTCATTCTCATGCGGTGGACGATGTGCCATCCAATGGCATTCCAAGTTGCGTCGGGCGTAGGGCGTCCTGGGGGTGTTGAGTTGGGCTCAACAGGCATCCATGGATTTAGGTGTATCGCGGGCGGACCGCACCTTCGCTTGCATTCAGCAGCCGATATCGATGATTAGAAAACATAGCACATGTGAACTGATGTCGTTAAGATTGTAGGCAGCCTCGAAAGTCATGAACAGAAGTCATGAGCGATGGCCCAAACGACGATGAAAGTATGCACCGCGCATTGGCCAGCCAATCAAACTCTGCTGCCCAAGACATGCCGTCTTCCGCAGTTTTGACATGTAACTTCGCTGCGTACGTACTTCGTAATCCAGGACGCGCTGCTAAAGAGTCGAGGCTGCTCCGTGTCGACGTGAAAGATTGTGATGTGACATCCAGAACCACAGGCGATCGATGTGGGTCAACGTGGGGCAGTTCCGTTCCGGGTTAGTACCAACACCTGCGGCGGTTGTACCCGTCCCTCCTGCATTCTTCATCTCCTTTCACACTGCACCATCGGCGCTGTCGATAATAATGCAACAACCATTTATCCCGTCACATTCGCAATTTCGCGCTTCGACTGTAATCGATGATCGCAATACCTGACTAATTGGAACTTGCTACTGCATCGCTCGATCACTTGGCGATGGCCCATTCGTGGTTACTTGTACGCGTTATGCGACTCGGTAAAACACCAGTCTTGTCGCGCATTGGAGACACATGTGTTTGTACGATTGAAAGTATTACAATTATGTACCCCATCTCGTATAACAGTCTATCCGCGCTGACCCGGAACTCCAGCCTTCGCAAATAGATAGACCGAGTCGCAAAGTACCGCTGTAGCGCTTACTGCGAACATGCTACACCCATCTTGTCTTCAAGCCACCAAGCACACTCAAGCTGCGCAAGCCGTATCAAGCTGAAAACACCCAAAGAAATCCACTCTGCACAAGCCTCCATCTATATTTTCGTGCAGTACGCGCTATGAATCTTGTAGTCGAACGTGCCCAGATCTCCAAACACCGACGCCTGGTCCTTGCTGCCGCATTCCATCTTCTGGCCGTTGGCAGGACAGTCGTGGCCACTAGTGGAAGTTAGTTTCCAACGGTCTTTCCAAGTAAAAGGAGAATGATGGGTATGACGTACGTGTAGAACTTGCAGTGGTAGCCCTTCTCGACGGTGACGCTGCGGATCTTGCCATCGAAGTTGCCAAAGATGTTGTTCATATCGGTGCAGAAGTCGTTGGCGGGAATGGCGGTTGACCGGCCATTGAAGTTTTTGTCGGTGAAGATGGTGGCCCCGCGACCGTCCGCTGCAGCCTGTGAAATGTTAGTATCATGGGTGGAAGGGTGGTTTGGTGTGGTAGTCTTCGTTACGTACGGTCGGTACAGCAGCGACAAGCGTGCTCAAGAGAGCTAAGACGGGGATGAAGAGCTGCATTCTGTGGGTTCTATTTGGTTGATGGTTCCTGGAAATCGAGAGATCGTCGAGACTAAGTAGAGGGTGGAAGTTGCGGGTTTATTTCGGCGGAGGCGTAGGTTCTTTAATATAGGGAGGGCGCGGGCAGAGAAGGAGCGAGGCGTGGTCATGACTGCTTATGACGCTAGCCTGTAGTTAGATGAACAGCATTCTTTGTCCCTAATGAGTGAAGCGACTGTGGCCCAAGCTTCCAAAACGAGCGAAGACTGCATTTGTCTATGCTTGTATCGTGAAAGCTAACGGTATTCTGGTGGTAGGCGCTGGGGCTAGTTGTTTATATTGCGGCGCAGGTGTTCCCGCAGTTCGGTAGGATAGCCGCATCGGGAAGTTTGTAAGATCCCTCGTCCAACACGCACTAGATGAGGCGCGGAGGTGCCCAACACAGCCGGAATAGCACGATGGCTTGTTGAAAGATTGGCGAACTCAGGGTATCGATAAATGAGCGCGTTGACGATTGGGCGCGTTTTCCCGTCAGGTAATACTGTTCCATGCCTTCGCGAACGTTGTTGTGAGCCATTATCAGAGGAAGTAGATGACCGGGACCAGGTATATGAATGCCGTAAAGACTGCTATCGGGCTCTATGATTATGCGACATAAAGCGATGGAAATGGCTATTCATGATAATAAAGTCGCCCACACTTCGACAGTGTCGCGCTACCCCGTCGCAACGACACACCCTCCATAATGGTACATTTCCTGGGTATGAGCTGACACTCATTCAATGTAAATGGTTTCTTCATCGCCTGGGCGTAGTATTACATTATCTTGCCCCATCTGCCTCGAAAGCCCAGTCTTCTTTGATCGGATCGAACATCGTCTTTCTGTAATGCCAATCCTTCTGTAATGGTCTCCGACAGCTTGGAGGACTATAAAAGCGGGAGGATCAAATCTCCAAGCTGTGCGCACCCGTAAATACCATAGAGAGGTACTGCCTTGATAGTATCTGGCAGGACAGCGTCCGTGAGTTCAGTGTCGAGCCACAATTCGAGGACTAATTCGATTTCATCGCCAGCAGCACCAGTATGCTGGAAAACGACCGACGGCGTTTCCTTTAACTCCTCGCCATACTTCTGGAGTTTGTTAGACATCAAGGAGGCCGTATAGAACGATCCCGTAAGTCGCAGGGTAGGACCAGAGCCCTCGGGCAAAGGGTCGTATCGACTCTCAATCTGGTTTTCTGGAGTCAACCAACGTCCATCCGTTGTGAGGACCTCGGCGACGAAGCTTCGGTTGCTCCTCTGAGTATTGACCTCTATCAATTTCGGACCAGTTGCTGCTACCCACGACCAGCTTGGAAAATTTGTTCTCTTTCGGCCAGGACAAGGCCAGCTGCGCCATTCTAAAGAGAGCTCGATATTGAAGGTAGAAGCGGAGATCCTAGCAACTATACCCCAAAAGTGAATGTCGACAATCTTTTCCAAAGTTCCGGTACAGGCGCTGAGGATGTCGCCCTCGAAGGATAGCTTTCTGGCCGAGTAGCTTTGCAACACGTCGGCAATGTGAGGCCCTGAGTCACTATCTAGCGGAAAACCTGGATAACGATTTTTCATGTAAATTTCATGGTCGTCGATGCCAGGTCGCTGTACAGACTCTTGCCATACTCCACGGTCACACGAGTAAGAGACTTCCTTGTCGGTGAAGACGAGTCTACGTGTCGCCAAATAGCCCTCCTGATGGGTCCAGCCTCTATTGGCCCACACACTTTCCCTCAATGTCGATTCCATATTGAACATCTCGATCAGCTGA